TAGCAAATACTCTATTACAATGTAAGATAGACTTAAACGGGCTTTCGGATCATTCTGCACAAATTTTGGAAGTAACAGTTCCCTCTGAAGTTAATCTGGTTCCAGACTTGCGATATGTTAGATCATTTAGTGATAAAAATTGCAAAAATTTTATACGTTATATAAATAATGAGACTTGGAATAATGTGTATGAAACTAATGACACAAACGTAGCTTTTGAATTATTTACTGATATACTGAATTATTATATCGAAATGTCATTTCCATTGAAAAAAATTATGTCACAAAGTTGTAAAGGAAAACCTTTGATAACAACTGGCATTAGAATTTCAGCAAGAACACTTAAGCGTTTATACACTAATGCCACTAACACAAATTCTGATCTTGATAAATTACACTACCAACGCTACAAAAAGGTGTATAAATCTGTTATAAGGACCGCCAAAAAATTTCACTATGACAAAATGTACAGAAATGCTAAAAACAAATCAAAAATTGCGTGGAATATTATAAATGAAAATATTAAAAACGATAAAGTCTCATCCCGTAAGGTAGAAAAACTCGAAACTATTTCTGGTTTAATAACTAATCCTTCAGAAATTGCTTCAACCTTTAATAATTATTACACAAACTTACCGCGCCAAATGGGAGCAGGATTTTCAAATACTAGTCTGCAGTCAAACTTTTCAACAATGTTTTTAGAACCTGTTACCGAAAATGAAGTATTTAACATTATAATGGATCTAAAAAATACGAAATCTACAGGAATAGATAATATTAACTCGTATATATTGAAGAAGTGTATATACCACATATTAGGCATTCTTACCCACTTAATCAACAAATCTTTAGCAGATGGTGTTTTCCCAAGCGTTTTCAAGGTAGCTAAAGTTGTACCGATTCATAAAAAAGGAGATAAGAAGCTGGTGGAAAATTACCGACCTGTGTCTTTATTATCCACAGTTTCTAAGGTGTTGGAAAAAATAGTTGCAAAAAAAAATGATCAATTTTTCGAACAAGTATAGAACCATAAGAAACGTTCAATATGGTTTTTTAAAAGGGAAATCTACCTCCTCAGCAATATACAGGTTTTTAAATACATTATATAACAATTTGGATAAGGGAAAGAAATGTATGGGAATGTTTTTCGACTTTAGCAAAGCTTTTGACTTGGTGGATCATACCATACTACTACAGAAATTACAATATTACGGTTTTCGCTGAATTATACACAAGTGGTTAAGTTCGTATCTCTGTAATAGGAACCAAATTGTACAAGTTAATAACGTAAGGTCCTTACAATCGGAACTTATAGCTGGAGTACCACAGGGTTCTGTTCTGGGTCCCTTACTATTCATATACTATATAAACGATCTACCTGGTGCAATTACATCCAAGTGTGGTGATAATATTGTTATGTTTGCGGATGACACTAGTTATCTTTTTTCTGGGGATAGTATGAGTGAGGTAGTCGAGAACGCACAGTCTTCAGTAAATAGTGTCGTTCAATGGATCAATAGTAATAAGTTAGTTCTCAATGCTAGTAAATCATTAATTATAAATTTCAATCTGCGTGAGATCATAAGGAAGGAATCTCTGTTAGTTAAAACAAGCAGGAAATCAATTCCTCAAGAGAAATGTACCAAATTCTTAGGCATCTATCTTGATAGTAATTTGAAATGGAATACCCATATAGACAGTTTATCCAAAAGTTTAGCGTCAAGTGCCTATGCAATATTTAAATTAAAATCTTTTAGTAGTGACAAAGTGCTGTTAAGTTTCTACTATATTGGGGTAGATCTAACTTAACTCATAGGATTTTCCTAATTCAAAAGCAAGTAGTGAGATCTATAGTGGGAGTAAAGAAGAGAACATCATGCAGAAATATATTTAGACAACTTGGACTATTAACTGTTCCTGCTATATATATTCTAGAAATTCTGATGTTTGTAAAAGAAAATCCAAAGGAGTTTTCTGTTAATAACTATGATCACAGTTACAATACACGGCGTGGTAAGGATTTCTGCATTCCTGCGCATAGACTAAGTATGTCAGAAAATAATCCGAGATATATGGGCTCATTACTTTTTAACAAACTCCCAGAATGTTTCAAGTCTGAAACCCGACATAAACAATTTAAGTTTCAGGTAATGCATTTTTTATTGTCCCAGTGTTATTATTCAATGGAAGAGTATTTAATAATAATAATAATAATAAAGTTTATTGTAAGCAAGATCTTACAAATGAACAATTTGTCAGATTCGTGTACTTAATTACATTTGGTATCGTTAGTAATACAATTATGTATGTTATATAGGTATATTTTATTCAAATTATTTAGTTATGTGATATTTTACACAACCTCTGTCATTGACTTGATAAATATCATATCTAATGGTCTAATAAACATTATTATTTTTATTAAATGTTT